CAATAGAAACAAACTCTGGCTAAATGAAGCAAGAAGAAATTTATTGGATGGATGTAGGGCAGCCTGGGAATTATTGGGAAGGCAGGAGAATCAGGCTTACAAAACACATACTAGGCACTAAGGGAGGTTCAAAAATTAAGAATGCTAACCAAGGTCATTTATAAGAATGTCTCATTCAGCTGCTGCCAGTAGTGTGGCTACCACTGGACTTTCAGTGTCACCATCACAAGGACTAGTCCTTTAACTATGGCTGCTTTTTTGCATTGATCCTGTAGGATTCGCCGTCCTGCATTGAAGTATCCATTCATCTGAGGCCAGGGCACGTGTCCATGCTTCAGCTACCAGGGAGAGTGGTCAGAGGGTATTTAGTATTTTGAACCTTTCATTTCAAGTGAGAGACAGAACCCTCCCCTTCCTCTGAGATTCCATGATGAGTTATTGCCCCCACATAAAAATGGTGTTTAAATGTTAGAAAGCCAAAAGAATGACAAATGCCTGCTACACGCTTTTTGAGGTACAGTTATTCTCAATAGAAAGGGACAATATTTCAGACCCCTGTTTCAGCCTTCTGTCACATAGTCAGAAAAATCGATGCCCGAATTTACCTGACATTTCCCAGATGAGTCTCAAAAGTAGAAGGGCCCCTATTTCTCGGTGCCACTGAGGCCCAGACTAGCGTTTCTTGTCTCATTGTAGAAAACACCCATAAGCAAGTCTCCTTTCTTATTAACCAAATTCTGCTTTTGTTTAGGTTCTCACCCTCTTATGCGCAACCATATACTTCACAGGAGTGAGTTGTGCCTTGTGCCATCCCAAAACAATAGTCCCTAAAACTTCAGGAACAGATCTGGGCTAGAGCACGTGATACAATACTGACAACTGGGAGACGTGAGGTGTTTGGTGCAAGATTTGAGGGGAAATTCGTGATTGTTAAAAAGAGATTCTCAAGAAGAAATTCTGGCTCTGTCCTCTGTGCGATGTCATGTCCGGGAGTGATGCTTGGGGTGGCAGCATCTAGCCGGCTCCGAAGCCGAGGGTGATGCCAGAGCGCGGGTAAAGGTGAGGGCGGAAGAATCCCAGAGGAAGAGCTGCAGCTCTGCTTTACCTTCTTACAATCGGAAAGAATGAATCTTGTCATTAAAAAGGTCATTCTAGGGTGGGCATTTTGGTTATTTGCAGCTAAACACATACAGAGCAGTTTGTACATCTTTGGTTTTCATGGAATTGTTCCTCTGCGTCCTGAGGAATAAAACATTAGTACAACTAATCCTTGGTTTTAGCATGCTGAAGGACTCATTAATAAGAGAGATAGTGTTCCACAATTATCTCCATGTAAATCTTAAAAGATAGTAGTGCTTTACTTCCTCAACTCACCTTTTATTTTTCCTCTTGTCTTTATTAGTCCCCCTGGCTTTTACACATGAAACGTAATGGACCATGTCACTTGTTAACAAAGAAAGTAAAACCGAAATGGTCTCAGACCCAACAGTTCAGTCTTTTAATGACATCATATACAATTGCATGTATTAGTGAAATGCATAGCTGATGACTATGCACTGAAATAATCAATTATGTCCTACATTAGTGTTTAAATATGACGTTTTGGGGGAACCTGATGAATACAAGACATCTCTCTTTACTGCATTGTCAGTTCTTAACAGAAAAGCATACTGTATGAGGAAAGTCTGAAATCACACAAATACATTGAACATCCATAGTGTACTAGGCTGGGCACAGAGAAGCTGGTTAAATAGTGGTAAATAGGAATAACAGTGTACTTACGCTCATGGAGTTTACAAACTATGTGAGCAATCAAACTAATAGGCAACTATAACACTGTGATAAATGCTTTTATAGTGAAACATGTGAGAATACAAGAGGTGTACTTAATTCAGAATGAGGAAGAGGATAGGAATGAGCAAGAAAGGGTTCCAGGAGGAAACGCATCAGTTTTGAGTCCTGGAGACTGCATTGAATTTGCATAAGCAAAGGAGAAAAGAATATGTACAGAACTGCATGTGCGAAGAACTAAGAAAGGGAGCAAAAGAGTAATAGAGGGATTGGAGAGGGACAGAGGGACCAGGCTATGAGGGACATTTTTAAGTTACACTATGTGTTAGTACTCTATCTTGAATGAGGAGGGATTCGTGTGTCTATTTGATGAAGAGCATCCTGGATGCATGGTAGAAATTAGCTCTGAAGGGGGCAGAGCAGAAGTGGCAGTAGTGGTCACCCAGGAAGATTCTAGAGCATGGCTATCAAACAGTTAATAAGAAGGCGGGATCTTGGGGAAGCGTTTAGAATGTGGATCATTGACTGAATGAGGCAGGAAGGGAGAGAGAGACCCTAAAGATGACACCTTGGTTGAGGCAAATGGAAGGGTCCTCACTGGGGAAGAGCTGTCAAAAGGAGCTGGTCAATGAGGGAGGGCAGTGGGTTCAGCTCTGAACATGTCCACATTGTATGGATGTGAAGACAGGCACAAAGAGGTTAAGCAGCTTGCCAGACATCATATAGGCAGAGAGTGTGGGAGCAGGCATTGAACCAAGATAGTCAGTGTCTCCTTCCTGCATTCTATATCAGAATGTAATTTTGCCTAATATGCTTTTAACTTTTAATCAATTTATACTGTTGGTTATATCCCTTAAGAATATTGTAGTGGTCACATTTGTTTTATTTGTTTTTCAATAACTACTTCTGAAATAATTTGAACCCATGGTTCTTGTCACAGTTAATATTACAACATTTTTATATTTTCTATCATAGTGTCAAATCTGCTGATTGACTTTCATACACATAAATATAAACATAAATTTCCATTTCAGATTCATAACTCCAGACATTTCCATGTTCATTGACTTGTAGGTTTGAAAGGAACTTAAAATCTCATTCATTCACATACCAAATGTTTGAATTCATCTTGTCAAGTGGTTTTTGTACCAAGACATCTATGGTTTCAGTCATAGAAACCTTCCCACACAAATCACATTTCACTGTTTGTAGTTGTTCTCAGCCACTGTTTTCTCCACCAGTTTCCCCAGTACCTAGAAAGCTCCCTGGCACATGTGAAGTGCACCATCCATTTTGTAGATTGCAAGAATAAATAAATGATTATCAGAAATTCACATTCATTCTTCAAGTTTCTTTGCGGTTCTACAAAGTCAAAGCAAAATTTCCTTAACGCAGAATGTATTTTTGTGTGCAAGAGGAAGCCTAAAATAACAAAGGAAAACATTTTGGGATTTTTTGAAAAAAAGACATGATATATGTAAAATTCCAATAACATCTAAAAATCACGACTGCTGGGAGTCTATGAAGACATGCTTTCTGCCCTGAATACAGAGACATTCAAGTTGGGGCTGTTCATGAGACTGGATCATTGACATTTCAGCCTGCCTAAATTGTAAATGTGAACTTCAGCCTGAACTGGGGAGGGAACCAAGAGATGATCAATATTAGACCAAGGTCAACTCATATTTTAAACAGTTGGATTCTTATGGTCTGTCTATGAGGAGAAATGTGTGGTTATGTATAGGATCTTTCAAGGTCCATGTGGTGTTCCTTTGTTCCTTCTCTTGGATTATCCTAGCAGCACTTTCCATAAACAGAACCCAATAATAAAGTCCTAATTGTAATACTATTTATTATAGGCTCACCAAAATAAAATTTAAATGTATGTTCCATGATCACCATTGTTTCCAAATTTATCCATGTAAATCCTCAAAGAGCATAAAAGGTAATTATGATAATTAAGTTTGAAATAACATATTGAAATCCTGGTCCCTGGGTTCTAAAGGAAATCACCTTCTGTGGCATTTCAAAGCCAAAGTTGGAATTCGGATTGGTTATTCAGGGTTACTTTATAAAAAAATAAATAAAGTTCTTCGTACCACTCGATGACGATGATGAATTTGTCGATCACAAAAATCTGTGTTGGGCGTCGCCTCTCTCTGAGGCTGATTCGGTGGGAGTTGCTGTGTGCCGCCCTGTCAAAGTTGAATCTGTCACAGGCGCTGCAATTTGTATTTCAGAAAACTTGCTTCCCCAACTTTAATTATCCCCCAAGTGTTCTATTCTACATACAGTACTGAGAGGAGTCAGCAAATTTTTTTTTTCAGTTTCAGTTGTCATGTAAATTAGGGTTTTGTGTACTATCTATATGTTGTAGAGATGATGGAATTTCAAATGAAGGAAAGAACCTCCTGTTTCGTACTTTACAACACTATTTTCCATTCACTTTTCCACTTTGGTTGCAGAAAAAATTAGTGACAAGTAGACATGATTAAATAACACACTCACAGTGACATAAATCCTGCTTCTTAGAAGGAAGCAGACGTGAATCTGATAGAAAGTGTGTAGGTTTAACTGCTAATGCCTGAAGTGGGAAATGGGAGGTCCTAAACCCACAAATACTAACTATACTTAGGTTTGACATTTTTTTGTTCAATATTAACATGTGTTTCAAACTCATGTAATAACTATCAGTCAGTTTTGTATCAGGCAGCCTGTCCCTTTGTAGAGAGACACGGAAACTGGTCAGCAGGCAGACACAGTTGTTACACTTGGCAAAGCAATTGCTCTACACGTCAGCACATATCGGGGTATTTTTCTCAAAACTAAATTTTTTCAATACTTCACCCTGAAAGCCTGATGGAAAAGTTTTCCCTAAATATTTCACGGTGGAGGTAGTGTCTTCAAAATTTCTTGAGGTTGACTTGCCAATTTAGAGGAAGATCTTTGCCCTTGGGAATCCCTAAGGAGTGACTATGACTATGAAAAATTTTTTTCAGAGATTAATATTGTTTGATGACTTAAGAAATATGCTGTAGTTAAAACTTTGGAATATTTTAAAATAAGATTTTTCTTTGTTTTGCATGTCTTTCTCTTTGTATTAATGCAATTCCAACAAATGGAAATAGTGAATTGAATCAAGAAATAAATGTGTTTACTGGAAATTGCTTAGCCTTTGAATTGTAATTATGATTTTATATTCTTCGTAGGATTACTTAACCATTCATAAGTATGGCAATGCAGCCAGAAATGATCTCTGGAATACACTATCAGAGGTAAAGTATAGGAAGCTTGAATACCAACACCTCTTTTTGAACTGAGTTTATAAAACATTCATAACTTTTATTGACATATTTTGTTTTTACTTCTTATATTTCCCTTTTCCTCACAATGCTTTCTTGTTTTATTTTTGATATAATGTAAACATATGGGGTTTAAAATTACTGACACTGTAAGTGGTAGTAAAAGATACTGTACTTTCAAACATAATACTTCTGACATATTATTTTAATATGGTATCAGATATTCATGGTTGAGAGAAAAATTGACCTTAAAGAAATTTTTTCTATCTATGAATAATAAATTTAAATTTGATACTAGACATACTGGGGATACTTAATGATGCCATGAGTACTTGCCTTAATTAGAAAATATGCTTTATCTTCCATTAGGTAAAAGCTTTAATGTTAAAGCTTTCATTTCTACATATAGGCATGAAATTTAACTTAAGGCAAGAAGATTGATTTTATTAACATTATATTAGCTTCACTGATTTTAAATGTTTTCATACTTAAGTAAATCACAAAGGTAAAAATGAAAATGGTTTAATGTTACGTTTATAGTTAATGTTTATAAAACTAATTTATACAATTTTGGTTATAAAGGCTTTAAAAAGGAATGGAAAATATGTAAACATACAAGAAGTAATGGATCAGTGGACACTGCAGATGGGTTATCCTGTTATCACCATCTTGGGAAATGCAACAGCAGAAAATAAAATAATTATTACCCAACAACATTTTATTTATGACATCAGTGCTAAAACTAAAGCACTTCAACTTCAAAACAGCAGGTATAACCCTCTTTGTTAATTGCTCTTTTGTGTCACTTTGCATTTTTATATTTTAAAAGCATTGATAACACAATTATGAAATGTAAGTGAAATATAGTTTTCATTTCCTTATTTACATATGGTAGTTTCATTTTGATTCCCCTTTTCTCCTATTTCCAGGTATTTTAACTGTCAAGGTGACAGCACACCAAAGTTATTTTAAGAATACAGTGTTTCAGTTATCATGGTGATTTAAAAATATATGTGATTTTTTTTACTTTCCCTGTAAATGTTCATTGAATTAAATTCAAGAAAGTTAAGATGCATTGAAGTGAGTTAAATGGAATTGAGCAAATTGAGATTTATAAAATTGATGAGAACAGAGATTAACAATCCAGAAAGACTAATTAAAACAAGCAAAAAACCACAACTAGACAAAATAATGTCTGAGCCGAAGGAATTCAAAAACCAGATTCATTTAAAAATGGTCTAAGTGTCATTGCTACTTAGTATCAAAATGTGACCTCTTTCCCTCATTTTTAGTGTTTAAAACCATTAAGCGACAACATAACAGAATTTTGATTTGTTGTTACTTTAACTGTCTTTTGAAACTCTTAATTACTGAAAATTCAGCACATGGTGTTTCTTTCTTCTCTAGTTCATGTTTTCTTACTGTTTTGTGTCTTATTAAAGGCTGAACCAAGGAAAGTCAATAGAACTGAAATTAGTCCATTTAATTTTTACAGGGTGCCCTGATAAGAGAGGTTGGGGTGGGTCTTTAGCGGAGAGGAATGAAAGTTAAAGGTAATAAACAAAATGAGGTATTTGGATAAGGTTGGTCATGCAGTCTTCCATTGTCTTGGACTATTAGGAATCTAACTTTTATTATTCACCAGTATCTAAGAGATGTGAAGCTTATATTTAATTTTCTTTATTTTCTCTAAGATAATAAATCTCTTAAGACTGGAAACTATTACCAAGTATGCTAGCTCCAAAATGGGCTATATAGGTAGAAATAATTGAGAAATTCATGAATGTTTTCTGGTGACTAAATTTGGAATCCCATTTAGGAAATTATTGCCTTAAATTTGCTCAACTGTGTGTATTGGCCTTCAACAAACTGCCCTTACAATCCAGTTGTTTTGACCCGTGGAATACAGTATTACCTGCCACATGGTCAGGGTCTGACTGTCAATGTTTCTTCACCCAGCCTGGATTCCCCACAGCTGGCAAAAGCTACTTCTGAGCCGCCACTGTCTGGTTCCCGGCTAAATTTACTAAGGCATCAACCCTGGCCTTGCCAGGAAGTACATGAAACCTGCTTGACTGTGGCAAAGTGAGATTCAGCCTTTGAGAATCATCAGTCTGACACAACGTCACTGATGCAGAAAAACATAAAGGACACGCAGATGACAGAGCAAATTTTGAACAAAAGTATTCTGTCAACCAATAACATGCATCAGATGTATTGGTCATGAGTCTGACTCTTAAAGGAAGAATTTCTCCCAGACTCTATAAGTATATATAAAATCTACAGAGCTTTGCTTTTGCTAAAGTTATAAGATCATATGGGTGATTTTAAATCCTGAGAACTTGGCATATAAAATATCAAGAGTAAGATAATGAATATTGTCCCTTTAATCTCAAAAACTCCTCTGTCTATTTTGAAATAATGGAGCTTGTGGTTGAAAATTTACTATTCAGTTTTATGTGATTGATCATTTAATTCGCTATGCCATTGTGGTCAAAGCTTCAATACTAATTCTATATGCTCTTTGTATATAGCTTTCCTAGACTTTTATTTGCATTGCAAACAACAGATGTAGTGCAACATGATGCCCATCTATGCCAGAAATCCCAATGAATTATGGGTATTTTCTGAGCCAGTATAATCAATTTTTTGTCTTAAATTTTGTAGAGGATGCTGGAATATCATTACATGTCTAGAACATTTTTAATGCATATGGTAATTATACTTTTCATATGTAGTAGCTATATTACAGCATAGAAAAGAAGGCTTTGCTCTTTACATAAATAAAAATTGCATAAAGTTACTTGATATGTTAAAGTAGGTAAAATATTTGCTAGAATTTTGGAATTTGGGAAGTTGTGAATTTGGATAGCTTTTTTTTTTGCCTTGTTTATGAAGTTAGTACATTGTAGTGTTAAGCAATGTCTGCTCATCCACTTTTGGAGTTTTCCTTTTGTTATTGACCTAATGACAGCAACCTCTGAATGGTTTTTCACAGAACTTACATTAATACTTCACTAATATTGGTACTATTTTTTAAAAAAGATTTTTCACTCAAGCTAAAATATGTATGTATTATTTTCTACCTTAATGTAATCATTAAAAAATAAAACCTTATAGTTTTTTAATACTGATAAAGAGAGGTATTCCCAGAGTCTGTAAAGAAAAAAAATGTCTTAGAGGTCTTTTGAAATGCATTTGTTTTTTGTTTTTGTTTTTTTATGCTTAAAATGAGATGATTAAAATTCACTTAAGGGCTGGGACCCAATCTAATTTCACAAGTTTTCTTCTGGTTTCCTTTTATAATATAACCCCCTGCACTGAGATTTCTTTGTAGCATATCACACAGAGCTCTTCACACAACAGTATTTAGTGTCTTCCAGCCTTTGAGGTTGTAATCATAAAGCAACATCATTGCCATGCTTTTATTGATTTTAAAATGAAATTTGTGAAAGGATCAAATGTTTCATCTTTTGTTTGGAAAGTTAGGAAAAATGACATCATATGATAGTGCAGGAATTCAAAAATGAATACAAATTTTCAATATGCTTGTTATTTTGTAATTTTTATTTTGTCTGTGTGATAGTGTATACATACACACACAACATCTGCCTTTTAAAAGGTTTCTTGAATATATGTGTAATTGACTATGAGCAACAAGGTATTGATATGAATCATTTTCCTATACCTTGGAGACTTTTGCTAAAACACAAATATTGAAACATACCAATTTTATTATAATTACTAGTTTCATTATTAGAAGATTACAGTTTCAATAAATGCAAAATTGTGTTTATATTAGTGGCAAATTATATTTCAAAAAAATTTTATGATCATGCTACAAAAAGACACATTTATCCTTGAGAATTTTTAAACATCCTCAATTTTATGTTTCTTGCCCTTTAACTGATATTTAGTGGACCAAACTCAATGTAGAAGATAAGTTCTAAAAAGTCAAGTTCATAAAGTTAATCTCTGACTTGCTTGTAGACTGATTTGGTCCCTTTACTTTAGTCCAATGCATTTAATCCACTTCAACAACAATTTATGGAATGGCTTATTTTCCTAGGCTTTTGCAAAATCTTTGGTACACAAAATGAGCTCATAGATTAATTTGAGAATCGGATGCAGAGTCAGGCATCAGTGTCTCAACTAATTCTTCCAAGAAATCATAAAAGGGTCATTATTTTTAGAGAACAGCGGCAAAAAGCCATATGTCAATTTTCTATATATTCTACACCGTAGATGTTTTAAATATTTGGGGCATATTTTTAATACTATGTCAGAAGCTTGGAGGTATTTGTTAAGAGGTTACACGGGTTGTGTTCATTAACTTCTACTTTAAAAATAGTACATGCTTCACTACTATAGGTTGCTTATTTTCTGACCAATTGTATGGAGTCCATTATAGTATAACCTCCTACTATCTCCACATACTGGCAACTCAAAAATGTTTCTCTGATTAACTACAACATACACTTTTAAAATTTAGAATCTTAAACGTACTATTTTAACTTTCCATATTGGAGATAGCAGTTGGTATAAAATTGTGAATTTCTTCTAGTCTTTTTTTTGGATCTTTTACTATTACTGAGTTCTATTTATTATGAATAGAAAATATGAAATGATTATATTCCACATGACAAATTGGAAGGATATAACTTCCCCTCCCATCACCCAACAGACATTCATTATATTTTTAGTTTTATATAACCCCAGACATGTTCCCTGACAATTCTCAATTCTCCATTCACTCTCACAACTAGCAAGCTGACACAGTATCTTTCTTATGTCTTTAAAATAATCAAAAATAAATCAATGTAACCTGGCTATATTTTAGAGAAAGAAACAATATGTAGTCATTGGACTTATTGTAAGGCCATCTAGCTTATCTCTGGCTCCTCATTTGAGATTAAATTGATATGCTTCATGTACAAGTACAGGTCCCAATTTTTATCCTATAAAAAGTCAAATTCTAGAAAATGCTTCTCTTTAATAGCTGAGGCTCATGACTGATCTATGCACATTGGTGGATGATTGTACACGTCCGTTTGGAAATTCCTTTTCAGAAAACAGAGCATTAAGTGTGTCCCACAGTGTTCTTTATATTGATGTGGATTTTAGAGGCATCTGATTTGTTTTGCTTTTGTTCCTGCTTTCTTAACTTTAGGTGTGCTGTATTAACCCTCCTATAAAGTATGATTACAGTGTTTTTTAGAATAGACAAAATTAATGAGGAGAATGTTGAGACGTAAATGTGTAAAGCCACTGCAATGTACATTAATCTAATGTAGAAACAAGTAGAAAGGCGTTATTTTGAGACTTTAATCAATATATGGTATGGCTCAGATTTATAGATTTTAGTTACTTTTTATTCATAATGCAGAGGCCAATCTGTTTTGTTTGTTTTTTTTGAAAGATATTTTATTTTGTTGGCAGTTCCTGTTCTGTATTGAAATTAAACTCTTCGAGGCCAAGTCTGCTTAGTGGCATTGAAAGAGTGCATGTATCTTCTTGACTTATTCCTTACTTTTATGACTAGAGAAACTTTTTAGTTCCCTTAAAACGACTAATAAAAATCACACTGAGGGTGCACAGCAAATGTTATTTGTTTATTTGTTATAAACATTTTTATTCTTAAAGCTTCTCTCTTATTTTGCAGTTACCTGTGGCAGATTCCTTTAACTATTATGGTAGGAAATAGAAGCCATGTGTCTTCAGAAGCAATTATTTGGGTGTCTAACAAATCAGGTAAAATATTTATTTCCCCTGGAGGAACTATTTGGTTTCAAATAATTGTTAAGAAACTTAACCTCTGGTTTCATTTGTTATAAAAATGTAAATGAAGACAAATTAGAAAGAGAATCTAGAGGAATGATTATCACAAAATTAAATATAATATAGTTTCTATAGTCTAATTTCAGTCTCCCTATATAATTATGAGATTTATTTGTGTCTTTGGTAATAAAGACAACGTTTAAAACAAAACATTTCCAGTATGAGTTTAGCTGTATCATTTTATAATCCCAAATATAATTAAATCACAATCATAACTCCCAACGGAACAGTATGCCAAATACTGAAACACAGGCCACATTTTTAAGTGTCTGTGTCTCTGCTGTCTCCTCTTTACCAGACTGGCACTTTAAAGAGTGGATGAAGCAATATAATCCATACAATTAGATAATTATAGATCCAGAAGGGAGAGGCATTGATAGGTCACCAATTCATCTCCTAGGAAGGGTCAACTCCCAAGGAGCAGGGAAAGATGAGATTCTATTCAATTTCTAAAAATCTTCCAGTAAGATACTGACCTATTTCAATTCACTGTCAGAAAGCTTTTTCTTCAATCCAATCTAAATTCTCTATGCTGAATTGTGAACCCAGTCTCTTTATTTCTGTTTTCCATTGAACTGAAGAAAAAGCCAATTATCATCTTTTACGTAATGTTTTATTTAGATTTAGATGGTCAAGTGTGTCCACATTTTGTTTTTCTTACTCTTTTCTTGCATTTTGTTAATTGATGTTATCTTCCTATCTCATAAGCATTTTAAACAGCTGCAAATGTTTTTTGAAAAAAGATGAGGTATAAATAAATTACAAAATAAATATTGTTTTGTTATTAGATCAGTCTTGCTATTATAAGGGAGATATAGGTGCTCAAAATACATACAAACATCTATACAAAAATAGTTCTTACAGCAAAATCTAATCTGCTTAACAGAAATATAAACACTTGATTTCCTGTTGAAGTTTTATTCAGATTTCATGTTATTGTATTTTTAACACATAATCACCAATTATAAAAATATGTGCTTTCGTTTATATACACTGTGTATAAGGCATTCATATGTAATGTGAAATTGAAATGCATACTTTAAAATTACTGGTGTTTCTCATTTAAATTGCTTATTATAATCTATTCTTTTCATTTCCTGGAGTTACTATTTGTATCATAAATCTGAATTCACATTCACTGTATTATTTGTCTTTATATTTCTCTTTTACCTTCATGTAGTTGTTTTATCTGTGTAATTTATTATGAAATGATGAGTGAAAACACTGAGGTGTTACTGTAATGATCCAGCTATTAGATGGCATGTCAGATCAAACCATAGAGTTGCTAGGAACATTAAATAGAACCATTCTCAGAAATAAAGTAGACATTTCTTGTTGGGAGGTAGAACAGACATAGGAAAATTAGAAAAGTGCAAATTCTGATCAAATGTCAGGATCAGCCCAAAACTTCATTTCAGATCATGCCAGGATTCAGGGCTAGTCTGATTTTTCTTAGATACTCTCTCCAGGTCCATTTCCTCTAACTGTCTAGTTATTTCCATGCAGTTATTCATGGCATCCTTGTATGCCACAAAGTATCTAGAATAGTATCTCGCTTTTCTTGGCCAATAGCCTCAGGTTGTTGTATTTGAGAAGTTTCTATTTACAGTCTTTCATTATTAATCAGGAATAATAATAACATGATATATCAAACCATCTGTTTGCCTATAATACCACCTATATTAATACACATGGTTGTTACACACAGCTACATGGTTTGTGTGCTGCTTAACTCTGGGAGGTGATATTTACATAGACTATCATTCTAATGACAAGCTCCTTCACCCCAAAGTTATACAGTGGGCAAGTTACAAAGTATAATGTGTCATTTTCCATTAAATCATAGCAGAGTTCCATGGTTGTGAAAACATTGTCCCAGTTGAAATGTTGAGCCCATATCAAGTAAAATGTTTCTTGTCAACTTTATAAATTCGTAAACTGGAAGAAGTTTCCAAGAGGGACAACCTTTCTATTTTCACTTTTCAGTAGTATTTTAACTGTATTTAGTTTTATCTTGAAGTCCTTCATTCTGATGATGAATAGAAAACTGACATCAGACAAAGATTAGGAAGAAGACTGTTAACTGCTTCCTTTTATGTGTTGTTAGTTCTTCCTTTTTTTTTTTTCTAAATTCAAGATAGAGTCAACTAATATCAAGGAAAAGTGTTGCTCCTTAAAAACATTACAAAACTATTCTGGTCAATTCTTACCAACATATGAAACAAAATCCACGATCATATACTTTCGACACTTTAATTTCTAAAAACTCTTTAGATTAATATCTAATTAGTTCCAAGTTAAGGCATAGATGATTTTAGCCCAAAATAGTTTTAAAACCAATTTTTAAGTTACTGAAGGCAGGTAAAAGGATTTATCTCTTGTTTTTACTATGAAAATACCGAGAAGGCTGACATTTATACATGTACTATCTTGCATATTGACTGACTATTAATTAATGTACAATGGAACAGAAGAGATTTAATGGGAAATGTTAGGAAAGAAAAGATTCAAAATAAAGGGGAAACTGATGCTGCAAATTAGAAGTAAACATTAAAAATAGCTTAATGCTGTAGTCATTACCTTAGTTGGATTTTTGTTTATTTTAAATTCTGATTTTCTACAGTTAGCCACCATTGAGGAGAAAGGCCTAAACTCCTTTCTCTTTTTATTCCACAAGAAAGTATAGAATGTAAAAACATAAAACATTATAAAATATCAACTACTATGTGCCTTGATACAATCTAAGTTCTGTGCCATTTTGGACACATTCTAAATATAATTTTAAATTGTTACTACTAACACTCAAAATATAACTTCCACACTTTTTATTATGGTGCTCATTCACATAGCTCCCTCATTAGGGCATTGGAAAAGAGTGCTTTAAAATTCATTGCTCTTCATTAGTTGATTTGAAAAACATTTTTGAGGTATAATTAACTAGAATGAAAAGGATACTTAAAAATCTATGATTACAAAATCTTCCTGGGAAACATTTCTCCAAAGATTTCATTTATAACAAAGGCATAAAAATATTCATGGACAGTAATAACCTGTAGGTTTTGGTTATCAATTTAATGATAGCATACTGTAAAACAATAAATGCCTCCCTCTCTTAGTCTCATCATATGACATAAAAGGTATAGGGATTGTTTTCCTATTTTGTCAGCTGCCTATAAATTGTTGAATTCAGTAAGTTTGAAAACTAGAGCCAAAGGTATCCCATGAGGTGAAGTTTTGCCAGTTACCTAAAATGTGTAAATTGGAAATAACTTTAAAAATAGATGTAATATTATAAGAACCATGACCATTCCAAAACTGTGAAAACCTAAGTCATATGCTCATATATTTAACCTGATCCTTTAATATTGTAATTTCTTAAAAAAAACACCTACTTCTTAGATGAAACTGATCAAACTTGCTCTTAACCCAAGTGAATTCAATCACAATTTTAATGTGTTGCTATAAAAATCTTTGTATTCTTGAAGTAAGTGTTAGGGTTACTCAAGAGAAAAAATACCCTCAGTATTTTGATCTTAATTTTTCTCCACTCAAGTCAGACATAATTAATAAAATCTCTCTTTATGAGGTTATTTTAGTTTTAAAAATGCCATATTTTAAATTATTTATTTTTATTTTTACATCTGTAAAATGGGGTGGCATTCTAAAGCTTCATATAAATTGTGTGGCTAAACATACTGAGTTTTTGAAAACAAGCAAATATGAAGCATCAGAAACTTGGAAAGCTATGAATATTTTAGAGCACTATATGATAGATTTATTTTCCTAGGTACCATGGATTACGCTGGGTGAAATCTCTAGGAAAAACAACCCCTTCTTCCATTGACTCACAGAATAGGAAGGGACTTTACATGTCATTACTGGGCCCTTAGGTGATAGGCTAGGAAATTGAGAACCAAGGAGAATCAATGACCTATGTTCAAACATTCATGTGTAGGACAGCTGAAACAAGAATCCAACTTCTCTACTCCTACTCTCTTTGTTTCCAACACTATTCCCCCCTTTTAAATCAGTATACAATGTGAAAATGCATATCATATTAGAGCAAAAGTGTTATACCATCTTGTATCAATAGAGTATAATATAGTATAAAGGACCAAAGTCAGGACACCTGAGATGGACCTTTTACAGCTTTCTTGGACAATTTGATTAATCTGTCTAATCTCATTTCTTTATCTGTTCCAATAGATATTACTTATAAAGGTAACAGGAAGTTGAAGTGCTATTTGAGACATTAAAGTTTAGATTTTGTGTTCAGCATACAGTTTTTGTTTTACTGTACATTTTTGAAAATTGGTAATATATAACGTGTTGGATTAATCAGCCCATCCCATTCCAGACCTGAACAATTAGTGATCATTAATTTTCACCCAATAATTTTTGCCTATACCTCTTCATAGGGAAATATATTTTCCATGGGGCTTGTATTTGAGAGAGAGTACTCTGTAAATTCAGTGTTGCTTATGAATAAATAGAAAGAAACCCTGTTTTAAAATTTGATGTGTAAAAACCTTTATAATAGAAAGAATTAGAGATGGTGACTCTTATCCAGAATGGACTAATGGTTTCAATGATGCATTTTCTAGTTTTGAGTCATTGTGTAAATTAGATTGATCAGTGGTGTATGTATGTGTGTGTGTGTGTCTATGTTTGTGTCTGTATAAAATATAAAATATAAATTTTAAATAAACTTCATATATAAGCTATGAAGCGTGAGTCCTGAGAGCATCAACAAAATGACTAGAATTATAAACTCTGGTTCTGTGAGGTCAATAAAGGCTAACTTTAAAGTGAATGGAATCCTCTATCTACCATTTTTGAAGGAGTTAAATGTGTAAGTTATAAGATTTCTTTTACTGGCTTCCTTTAATTAAATTAGCTGGTGAATATAATCAAGTTGCCATTTCCAACATGCAGAATTTATTATCTTTGTTCTAATTATATGTAGAAATACTAGAGTCATAAACAAATGAGTTTCCCTTTTCCAACATTATTGATGATGCTGGAAAGTCTGTTATTTATTAATACATCCAAAAAAGCACATGAAAAAAGGCAAGAAACAACAGTGATTTTCCAATAAATGAGTCCTGTTGCTTTAGTCACTTTCTTACTGAATAAAATAAGTAGAATATGCACCTAAAACCTTTTCTTTTATTCTAGCCACATATTCATTTATCTAACTAGAAGCCGTATGAATACAATAGTAGATTTCCTGGTTACATTTATCTTGAGAAAGAATATTATGTATAGGTAATAAGGTTTATCAAGAACAAAAATGTTAATTATAAGATAACAATTAATTGAGGTAATGAATAACCAACTAAAAGCTTTTCTAGTAAATTCTATATCGTGTGATTAATTGATTAAAGAGTAGGTTTCAATTAGGTATTTAGGATGGTGTTCTCTTTTCATTATTGGTGCTGTGATATATTGTATTAAGAAAACACACTTTATACCATTGAACCCTTAAAATTTTAAGTCTATTTTACCCCCAAAATGCTGTTTTCAGAACACCACAGAATAACTTCTTTGGACAAAGGAAGCTGGTTGCTGGGGAACATCAATCAAACTGGCTATTTTAGAGTCAACTATGATTTAAGGAATTGGAGATTATTAATTGATCAATTAATCAGGAACCATGAGGTAAACTGGATTTACTCTTCAAAGATGTTTTAATATGTAAACACCTGCTATTTTAATCCTAAGTGATTCCATTTTCTTTTTTTTCTGGTTGACCTCATAGGTTCTCTCCGTCAGTAACAGAGCGGGTTTGATCGACGATGCTTTCAGCCTCTCCAGGTATGTTTTCTTGTGGCTCTCCACAGTAATGCCTATAAGATCACCTTTATTAAGCTAAATAGTACATACGTCTTAAATAAGAAGTCTTTTAAAAACAATTCTATAGCAGGTTCTTTGTTTAGGTATGAGTTATAGTAAGTGTCCCAAACTCTTGATCAATAGTAGCCATAAGGTATTTCTGAGTCAGGAGAAGCTTGATCAATTTTCGCTGCAAATTCAATTGAACACTCCAGAGATTAATAATCTCTTCCCAATTTCATTAATGAACTCGACAGAATGACCATTGTGCCATATTTAATTTTTGATGGAAAATACCTTCAAGCACCAGCAATTTTTTCCTGACGTATTCTAGTATATCTTTTTTTAATGTTCCATTGAATGTGATTCATTATGAAAAGCTTGTGCTGCAAGATGGAAAGAAATATTCCAGAGGGTAAAGCTGTTCTGCACAAAATATATATCTTTTATATATAGCAGAAACTTGTAGTTGTACTAAGGGCATAGTTATATATATATGTTATTTTCATAATTATATTTATAATGTTAAAATCAGTTGTTCCTTTGAATAGTCATTAGTTATTCCTTTAAAATAACCTTGATTATAAACCCAAGCTTTTTACTCAATTTTGAGACTAAATAGTACAGTAAACTCAGTCCTTTTAGCATTTTGGGTAGCTTCACATCCAATTCAGTTTTAATTTTAATAATCTGATACTACTGGGCAAAAAATTAGAAATAATAGAAATGGAGGAGGGCCTATAGAGATAACGATATGTGGAGATAGTGATTGAGATGTAACTTTCACTTTAAGATTTGAAGACTTTAAAGAAAGTATAGAAGATTATTTTGACATAGAAGTTTAGGGAGTGCAAAAAGCCTGTGAGAGAATGTACTCAATGTAACATTGCACTAAGCGTGAAGCAGGAAAAAGATGGAAAGCCGTTAAGAGTAATACAGTGAAAAGTTTGGGACCTAGAAAGAACTAGTATTGTCAGCTAATCAAACACTTAAAAGGTTCCAAACACTATTCTGTTTTTCACAGATAGTAATTTATTTAATTCTTACAAGTTTATAAGACATGCAGATACATGTTATTATTATTATTCCCATTTTAATTAAAGTATCATTGATATACAATCTTATATTGGTTTTAAGTATACAGCACAGTGGTTCAACTGTTACCACATTATTAAATCCTCACCCCAACTAATGTAGTTACTATCTGTCAACATATGAAAATGTTACAGTATCATTGGTTATATTCTCCATGCTGTACTATAATCCCTGTGATCAACTTATATCATGGTAGAGAATTTTTGTGCCTCTTTATCCCCCTCACCCTAAACGCACCTACCCACCCCAACCCCTTTCCCATGGTAACCACTAGTCACTTCTCAGTGTCTATGAATCTACTGCTATTTTGTATATTTTCTTTTGTTCTGTTTTTAGATTCTACAAATAAGTGAAATAATATGGTATTTGTCTTTCTCTGTCTGGTTTATTTCACTTAGCACAATACCCTCCAACTCCAACCATGGTGTGGCAAATGGCAGGATTTCTTTCTTTTTAATGGCTGAATGATATTCTATTCTGTATATGTACCACATCTTCTTTATCCATTAATCTATTCATGGACACTTTGGTTGCTTCCATAGCTTTGCTATTGTAAATAATGCTGCAGTTAACTGATGGGTGTATTATCTTTTCAACACAGAGATTTTGTTTTCTTCAGGTAAATTCCTAGAAGTGGAATTACTGGATTGAATAGTATTTCTGTTTTTAGTTTTTTGAGGTACGTCGTCCGTACTGCTTTCCACAGTGTCTACACCAATTGACATTCCCACCAACAGTGTAGGAGGGTTCCCTTTTCTCCATATCCCAGCAGATACTTGTTATTTCTTGTCTTTTGTTTAGTGGGCCTTCTAACTTCTGTGAGATGTTATCTCACTGTGGTTTTTGTTTGCATTTCCCTGATGATTACCAATGTGGAGCATCTTTTTATGTGCCTATTGACTATGTGTATTTCTTCTTTGGAAAAATATCTTCTGCTCAGTTTTTAATCAAGTTTTTTATTTATTTTTGTTGTTGAGGAGTATGAGTTCTTTATATATTTTGGATGTTAGTCCCTTACTGGATAAATCCTTTACAAATATATTCCCCCATACTGTAGGTTTCCTTTTTGTTCTACTAATGGTGTCCTTTGCTGTATAGAAGCATTTTAGTTTGATGTAGTCCCACTTGCTCATTTTTTATTTGGTTCCTTTGCCCAGGGAGATGTGTCTAGAAAAAAATTGCTTAAGTTCAAGAGATTTTTACCTATGATTTCTTCTGAGAGTTTTATGGTTTAATGTCTTATGTTTAGGTCTTTGATCCATTTAGAGTTTACTTCTGTGTATGAAGTTAGACAGTAATCCAGTTTCATTCTCTTTTGTATGTAGCTGCCCAGTTTTCCCAACACCATTTATTGAAGAGGCTGTCTTTTCCCCATTGTATATTCATGACTCCTTTATTATATATTAATTGACCATATATACATGGGTTTATATCTGGGCTCTTTATTCTGTTCCATTGATCTGTGGGTCAGTTTTTATGTTGGTACCATACTGTTTTGATTACTGTAGCTTTGTAGTAAGCTTAAAGTCAGGGAGCCTAATACCCCCAGCTTTGTTCTTCTTTCTCAGGATTGCTTTAGCTATTCTGGGTTTTTGGTGGTTTCATATGAATTTTAGGATTATTTGCTTTAGTTCACTGAAAAGTGCCATTGATAGTTTTGCAGGGTGGCCATCTTTACAATGCTAATTCTTCCTGCCCATGAGCGTGAGATAGATTTCTATTTTTAATTTCTTTCATGAGTGTCATAGTTTTCAAAGTAGAGGCCTTTCACCTCCTTGGTCAGGTTTATACCTAGGTATTTTGCTCTTTCTGATGCAACTGTAAGTGAAATTATTTTCCTGATTTCTTTTTCTGCTAGTTCATTGTTAACATACAGGAATGCAACAGATTTTTCTGTATTAATTTTGCATCCTGAAGCTTTGCAAAATTCAGTTCTTAGTTCTATATAATTCTGGTGGAGTCTTTAGGGTTTTCTATGTGTAATATCATGTCACCTGCAAATAATGACAGTTTAACTTCTTCCTTACTAATTTGGATGGCTTTTATCTCTTATTTGTCTGAATACCATGGCTAGGATTTCCAATACTTTGTTGAATAAAAGTGGTGAGAGTGTATGTTCTTGTCTTGTTTGTGGTCTTAAATGAAAAATGAAAAACTTTCAGCTTTTCACCATTGAGTATAATATTAGCTATGGTTTTGTCATATATGCCTTTATTATGTTGAGGTCTGTACCTTCTGTACCCATTTTGTTGGGAGTTTTTATCATGAATAGATGTTAAATTTTGTCAAATTATTTTTCAGCATCAATTGAGATGATCTTGTGTTTTTTATTCTTCTTTTTGTGAATATGATATAGGAATTTGATTGATTTATGGTATTGCAGCATCCTTGCATCCCTGGAATGACTCCTACTTGGTTGTGAGTGGTGCTCTTTTGATGTTTTTTTGAATTCAGTTTCCTAATATTTTGTTGAGGTGTTTTGCATCTATGTTTATTAGAGATATTGGTCTAAATTTTTCTTTTGTAGTGTCTTTGTCTGGTTTTGGTATTAGAGTGATGCTGGTCTCGTAGAATGAGTTTGGAAGTATTCCCTTCTAATTTTTGGAATACTTTGAGAAAGATGAGTATTAGCTCTTTAAGTGTTTAGTAGAATTCAGCTGTGAAGGCTTCTGCTCCTGGACTTTTGTTTGTTGAGAGTATTTAATTACCAGTTTGGTGTAATTACTAGCAATTACTCTGTTCAGATTTTCTGTTTCTTCCTGGGTCAGTCTGGGAAAGTTGTATTTTTCTAGAAATTTGTCCATTTCTTCTAGGTTGTCCAACTTACTGGCACATAATTTTTCATAGAATTATTCCTATTTCTGTGGTATCCATTGTGACTATTCCTTTTTCATTTCTGATTTTGTTTATTTATGCCCTCTTTTTTTTCTTGATAGGTCTGGCTAGGGGTTTGTCTATTTTGTTTATTTTCTCAAAGAACCAGCTCTTGGTTTTGTTGATATTTTCTATTGTTTTATTTTTCTCTATTTTATTTATTTCTGCTCTGATCTTTATGGTGTCTCTCCTACTAACTTTGGGCTTCATTTGTTCTTCTATTTTTAGTTTCTTTAATTGTGAATTTAGACTGTTTATTTGGGATTTCTTTTGTTTCTTGGGGGAGGCCGGTATTGCTTTGTACTTCCCTCTTAGAACCACTTTTGAAATTTTGGACTCTTGTATTTTTGTTTTCATTTGTCTCCATGTGTTCCTTGATTTCTGTTTTGGTTTGTTCATTGATACCTTGATTGTTTATAAGCATTTTGTTTGGCTTCCATGTATTTGTGGGCTTTTTTGTTTTCTTTGTGTAATTTATTTCTAGTTTCATACCATTGTGGTCTGAGAAGGTGTTTGATACAATTTTAATCTTTTTCAAATTTTTAAGGCTCTTTTTTGTAGACCTAGTATATAGTCTATTCTGGAGAACATTCTGTATGCACTTCAGAAAAATGTGTATCCTGCTGCTTTTGGGTGGAGTGTTCTGTAGATATCTATTAAATCTATCTCATATAATGTATTGTTCAGTACCTCTGTTTCCTTATTATCTAATTCATTGATCTGTCTATTGATGTAAGTAGTGTTACAGTCTCCTAATATGAATGACCTCCAATCTATTTCCCACTTTAATTCTGTTAGTATTTGTTTCACATATATAGGTGCTCCTATGTTGGATGCATAGGTATTTATGATGATTATAACCTCTTGTTGAACTGATTCCTTTATCATTAGGTAATGTCCTTTATCTTTTGTTACTTTCTTTGTTTTAAAGCCTGTTTTATCTGATGTAAGTACAGCTACTCCTGCTTTTTTCTCCCTCTTATTTGCATGAATTATTTTTCCCTTCCTTCACT